TGATCTTCACGAATTGGATTTATTATAGACGAAATAGAAATTTGTGAATCCGGCTTCCCTTTGACTTGAGTTTGCTGATGAATTCATTTTGGACGACTGACGCCATCTTGAGTTTCATGTTCCTTTATACTGAAGTTTGTGAGGACAGACTGACGTCGATATTGAGAATACGTTGGTATACGTATACAGAGTGAAAACGGAATACTGTCGAAAACGTTATACATATAAAATTTAGTTTAAAAATATACGCAGGTATTTTAATTATCACACACGCGTCACGTTCGTTAATTTATTAATAGTTTAGATATAAACGGTTTAATTAAATTTCCCCGAAGCTTAATTTTAGATAGTGGAGTTACGTTTCTAAATACTACATACATACGGACTGGTGAATATTACATACATTAGGTATATAGATCCAAAATACATTTGATAATGTAATTTATGACTGACAGCGGTTGAACTGAAATACAAATATGGATTCAATTTTACTTTAAGTTCGATTCAATTTCAATAAAAAGTTTGATTAAAAAGCATTTGCTTGCAGACGTCACATGAATGACGTCACATGTTGTATTAAAATATATTTTGGTTCAATAAAATAGATACAGGTACATTTGTATGTAAGGTATCGACTGCTGATACCAGTTTTAGTTTGAATAATGATCAGGAGATAAGACGTGCTACAGACAGACAGACAGAGGTCTGGTTGCTCCGTTCGCTTTCCGTTTCTAATTATTCATTAAGTTCGGGTAATTGAAGAACCTGTTCGCGCCGTAAGCACAGAACTCTCCCGATAGTCCCGTAAATTACAAATGCAATCACTTTTCACTCAACATTTTCGATTTAGCCCGAAATTGTTCCAAAACCCCAAATTCCGGGCTTCTAGACTAATGACAAGATTTGCATCACAAAGAAAGATAAAATTGATCCCTCTTCTAGGCCCCGCAGAGTCGGCGCCCCCTCCCGGCGCCGTCAAGACAATTGTATACTTTGTCGGAAATAAAAGACAAAGCCAGGTCTGTGTGAAGGGGTGCTACTATGCAAATATCTGTTGATACATTATCATAATGAACCCTGATTTACTGCCAGCGACTCACTCACGCAACTTCCCAACAAATGTTAAGCCTTAAGCTGAGTCGCGACTTCTGCTCCAATTAATTAACAGCCATTATATCTCATTCCGCACAGGTATGTAAATAATACTCACATGTCGAAACAAAATGAACAATCTTCGTGCTAAAATTATACAATTAAAATTAAATCCTTTAATTACACTTGAGTGAAACAATCACGATAACAGAGCAATTCATTAAAACGAAATTGATTTATCTTTTCGAATAGCGAATAAAATCTAAATCAAAACTAAAACGAAATAGGTCACGCTCGGGTCGACAGAACCATCCTAAAATAAAATACCTCTTTGGTAATAGGAGGTGGGAATAAAAAAGTCGATCCGTTACTATCACATTAAGGTCTGCCACAATCTTAACGAAATCCCGCGCTTCGGAACCCATATCTGCGGATCTCGGGGCACAGCTCAGCAGATCAGCGGAGACGCCAATGAATTAGGTCCCCGGGGGCCCGGGGCCGCTCGATAATTGTCGGATAGCTACCGGACAGGGCCGGACGAGCTGCTTGTTATGGGATGCTGAGACTTCCTTTGTTCTCAACACCGATTTGTCATTTATGGAGGTGTAATGGCGGCGCTCGTTCTGTTAACTTCTTTATACTTTGTTTAAGTTCTTTTGTCTTTGGTATCTTCAGGGGATGAGGAGATACATTTAATGTGAAGTATTTTAATGTTTTGTGTTGAAATAATGGTTTCATTTTACTACTATTTTGATAAATGTAAATATAACATCAAACCATTTATCCCCGAATGGGTAGGCAGAGGTGCACCCTACGGCACTTAATGCCACTGTACAATGTAACACCCATGTGATATAAGTCCCATGTAATAGGGGGAGAGCCTATTGCCATATACCGGGCACAATTCCAAGCCCTCTTGTCCAACAGTTGCACTTGCGACCAGCCAACGAGGCAGTCATTAAGTGTTAACAACCAATCATAATCTTTATCATAAATAATCATACTAAAAATATTGTGTCCTTGTCAATAATACCGGAATTAATTACCCAACTGTATGAGCCTACAAATTGTAACTTACTCAAATAAACTATTAGTATAATACTTGGCAGTTTTTACATTTCATGACATTTTAGAAACGTCTTTTCGCTAATCTAGAACCAAACTAGGGGCGTAATACTTAAATAGTTGTAATGACATTAGTCGTAAATTCATCTTTTAAAGTACTTTCTTCAACGATCTGTATTCCCAAATGGATACAACTTTATTTATAAATAAATGTACTCGAAGTGCCTCCAAAAACATACTTAATTGCGTCGTGATTTCAATTAGTTCTCTCTTTGAGTGAAACCAGAATCTCATGGCACATTACACAAGTGTTGGTGCCGGTATAGAGGCACCTCCTAATGAAGCCGACAGCTCACTGAGACTCCTCAAATCAACGTTCGCTTCGTCAAACAATATCACTGTTTCACCGCAACATCTTTAGTCAGAGAATTGATATTCGCAAGCTTGTTGAATGAAACAACAAAGAATTTTCAATAACAGAAAGAAATAATCGCGAAGATGTTCATTTTGTGTCTTCACAGAGAGCTGCGGGATCATTATCAGGAACCAATCAAAAGGCTCGTTCTGCGGGCACTGTTAGCACTACCGATAGAATTGCCAATTCCGGAGTTAGGAGCAGCACTGGAATTGCCAATTGTGGGCCAGTGTGTGAAGACTGGGTACGTTATTGGCACAATTATAGAGGAGATGTAACCAAATGGTCAGTTTACTTTTGAGTGCTGCTCGTTGGCCCGGGATTTATGTCCCAAGTTAAAACAATGGCCGGCCAAGTGTTCCGGGAAGTGATAAAAAGTCTTTTATTTGTGTTCAATCGATTTATGACATAATTCTGTGTTGCCTAGCTGTAGGGGCGCCTGTAAACCTGAATGGTGTTAGTTATTACTGTTCTAATGTTATTTGTAGTAACTATGTATTATTATACTTTTCTATTAACACTATCTCGAATGAAAACTATTTGAGCTGAAATTGAAGCTTGTATGCTGGAATTTCCTGGTTGGGTAAAGTATTTCAGTTTTTGTACTTCCCTCTACTAGTACAGAGACTGGTCCCTCCCTACTATCCCTCCCAAATTCGGTGGAATTCCTAACATTACTGGTAGTACAGGGTGTTACAATGTTATGCCAACCCTTCGTGAACTAAAACCGTGTTTTATTGTCTATATTTTATAATTTTATATTAATATAATATGTATAAGTAGAAACAGCATAAATATACAATATAATGTCATCATCATAACATCACGCCTTTTATCCCGAAGGGGTAGGCAGAGGTGCACATTATACCACTGTACAATTTAACACCCACTTTTCACTATTTATGTTATGAGTCCCATGTAATAGGGGGTGAGCCAATTGCCATATACCGGGCACAATACCAGGCTCCGTGCTACTATTGAGAATATTTAAAAACCTAGTAATACTTTGCCCGACCCGGGAATCGAACCCGAGACCCCTTACCCGGCAGTCGCACTTACGACCATTCGGTCAACGAGGCAGTTGACAATATAATGTGTACTAGTAATATATCCAGTAGCTGGCTGCCTCAATACGGCGTCAGTGCAATTTATCAGGAACACAACATATACTAAACAAATCCTCGCCTATAAGTGCCCACTGCTAATCAAAGGCCTCTTCTCACACGGAGAAGGTTTGAGCATTAATCACCACGCTTGGTCACTGCGGGTTGGCATACTTATAATTAGAAATTATAAGCCCAGGTTTCCTCACGATGTTTTCCATCACGTATACGTTTACCAGTGGCGTATAATAATCTCAGAAAGTATGTACATATAACTCGGAAAAACTCCAATTGGTACTTGCTGTTGGTCGGTTTCGAACCCACATCCCATGCATGAGTAGCAATTAGGATTGGATTTAACGTCATACCCTAATTAACCATTAACATACAATTTAGCACAACTATATCTAAACAGTTATAATCTAAAGAACAAATTAAGATCTAATTCGACCACTATAAGACCACAACCAATCAATCAGGATCACGCAAACACACATACAAACAAACATACATACATACAAACACACAGACAGCCGTCAGGGATCCAATCAAGTAAATATAAATAGCAAGCTCCGGTAATTAACCACAACCCCTAATTGCGGTCAGTGTTGACACTGCACTTCAAAATATACTGTTATTATACTAAGGAATTAGCACCTTGCGTGTTTGTATTAGGAATCATAATTAATTGCGGCCAGTCTTCATACCGCACATCAATATATACTATTATTGCACTAAGGAATTAGTACCGTGTGTGCTTGCACTACGGATCATAATTAATTGCGGTCAATGTCCACACTGCATTTCAAGTTACACCTTACCAGCTACACAATTATGGTAAAGGAATTAGCACCTTCTCTGTTTGTATTAGGGATCATAATTAATTGTTTATTTATTATGGCGAGGATTACCGTATGAGGTGTACCGTGTGAGTTTAGAGAGGTTAGTCTAATAGTTTGTATTTATGTTATGTAGTTATAGTGTTTATTTACCTTCTGTGTTTCAGAAGAGATTAGTGGCGACTATAAATTATTATGGTATTAATTATAAATATTACTAGCCTCTGCCAGCGGCTGCGCCCGCGTCTTGTGGGATAATAAGTAGCCTATTTGTCATACATGACCATATCCCCGTTCCAAATTCCATACTTGACCCCTTCAGCCGTTTGGATGTGAAGCAGTAACAAACAAACATACTAAGTTTAGCATTCATAATTTTAAATAGGTTTTATACAGTAAGATATGGACTCGGAAATAAAGTCGGCAAATCGCAAGTGTAGTCGTATTTCCAGCGCATGACTGTACGCATATGTTGGAACATCTTTCAAGTATGGGAGAGCCATGCTTCGGCACGAATGGGTCGGCTCAACCGGAGTGATACCACGGCCTCACAGAAAACAGACGTGAAACAACGCTTGCGTTGTGTTTGTGCTAATTCCCAAAAGGCCGGTAACGCACTTGTAACGCCTCTGGTGTTTCGGGTGTCCATGGCCGACGCCGATTGCTTACCGTCAGGTGATCCGTCTGCCCGATTACCGGCTTATTTTATAAAAAAAAAAGAAAAATATGATATTCATTTTTCTCTCATCCTACGTACTTATTAGAATACGCCTACGATACGACATCGTGTGCAAAGAGGAAATTTTGACTTCAAAGAATCCCCACCTTAGTTTTACCCAAATCAAACTGTAAGATAACATAATTATAACAAACGTTTGCTAGTGTCTTTTCAATTTTAAACGACGCCTCCTAATCTAGAACTCTTTACTATAAATATATCTGTAAAATTTCAAGAAGATTGGTCTTCACCAATCTTCTTGAAATTTTACAAAGTAAAGTGCCGAAGTATGGCTCGCTCACACTTCTGTGAGCGAGCCATACTTCGGCACGAATGGGCCGGCTCAACCGGAGTGATACCACGGCCTCACAGGAAATCGACGTGAAAAGCTTGCGCTTTATTTCGTCGTGTGAATGAGGTTACTGGAGGCCCAATTACCCTCCCCTTCCCCAATCTCCCCAAACCCTGAATCCCCAACGATCCTTAAACTCTTAATGTCCTAAGGCCGGTAACGCACTTGTAACGCCTCTGGTGTTCCAGGTGTCCATAGGCAATGCCATTTGCTTACCATCAGTTGACCCGTCTGCTCGTTTACCGGCTTATGCCATAAAAAATAGATAAATAATAATAGATAACAAACAAATAAACGATCATACTACTAATTCATTAAAAAACAGCAGTAACGTAACCACAAAAAATAGACATCAACAACTTATTCCCTTCTATACAACAATACACAAATACTGGTGTTCCAATGAGAGCAATTATTTAACACAGACGTGCTACTAATCCTCCTTTAGCAGCCATAAAGGCGTCTAAACAGGATCTCAATCACAGTCCTCGGGATCTGAAGATCCATTGAATAGACCGTTAATCTGCCGCGAGATGCAGTAATGCGAACAATCTGACTCGAGGTTGGATCTCGAACACTTCAGAGGCTGTCATTGAGATCCTCAAACGAATATGTATTGGTTGTTTGCATGTGATACCGTTGGTCTATTGAATATTGTATGTTTTTGTTTGTTTACTTGTCGATATGTTGTGATTTCGTGCTCAAATGGATGATGTTGATCAATTATTAAGTTAGGGCAGAGAAATGTAGGTAATAAATTACATTAGCTTTTGGTGAAAATGAAAAACTGATGTTAAATGTGAGCTTAGCGAAGGCGTTCCTTATTTAGGATAGTTTAGTGAAAACTGGCGTTATCTATTAGAGTCAATGGCAAGGACGTTGAATAAAAGGCAGGCATAATGTCATTTACAAAATATAATTGAAGCACAAAAATGTCAGTGGTATATTTATGTGTGCGTGCACTGTACCAGACTTCAGGAAATGTCAGATGTCCTACGTGTCAATGTGTGTATGTTCTGCGTGTAACTCTATAGTAGCCAGGTGACACAGTCGTTGTTCCAAGAGACTGTGCCCTGCTTTTATTTCAACGTCTTTAGTTGATTAATTTGTTTCACATTCACCCGCACTTTTTTTCTATTACCCTCGATGATTAATAACTATGAATAATCCGTTTACGTCAGTAGATCATAATATTAATAATTCTATTACACTTATTGCTTAACCTGTTAATGATATTAATATTGCTGTGTTCTCGATACGTTTATTGCGCAAAAAGATCTTCTTAAGAAGCTAATACTCTTGTAATCTGTTATAATGAAACCTTTTTGTTTTTATCTCCTGAGTGCTTGTAATTGCTTGTCTCACTATTATTCTCTTGATGTAGTTTTATTTCTTGCTTTTAAATAGTCGCTTTATATATTGTTTGATTCCTTTAAGGATTGTCCTTGTTTGTTACAAAAAAAAGGTTTTTGTTTTCGGTTTTCCTTGTGATTTTGTAACGAATTTGGGATTTCTATTGTCTTAATCGGGTCGGTTTCTGTAAATATGTTTGTAGAGCAACTGTCTTTTAGTCACAATTGAATAAAGTATTTTGCAGTGTAATTTATTGACATATCGAAGTAGTTACAGCTTTCCACGATGCTTCTAAAGCAATAGATCCTGGTTCAAATTTCATCAGCGACGCTCAACAGTTTCAAAAACATCACATCATGACCAAGTGAAACAAGTGAAACAAGTGAAACAAGTGAAACAAGTGAATTTATTTCTTGTACCTAAGACCTAATTCGGTAGCTGATTAAAATACTATAAAATATGAATGAATAAAAACGTTCACATTCCTAACAATCTACTATTACAATTGCACATTGGGGATTCCCAAATAGATCAACACACATAATTATACTCGCCTCGATATAATGCAAACTTTGAAAACACCCTTCCGAATATATTTATCCTCCACTACATCAAACGTCACGAAATTATTCAAATTAATTTCAATTACGTATAGAACGAGGCTCAAACTACCGCCAACTAACACAAATATGGCACTCATATCAAATTATAACTAAAGTGCCACAAAAGGTTTATCTTAGACCGGCCTTAATCCAACCCGAACCGATCCTCATTAAACTAACGTTTAATTTAGACTCGAATTTTAACCAAAGGGTTAAAACTAACACAGTTTCAGATCAACGGTCAGATTATCCAAAGTTAAACAGTTAATGAATGTTAGAAGCAAACTTGTGAAATCTGCTATATACGTCACGCGAGCGGTGACAGGGACCTATGTAATTAAACGGTAAAGTCAAGCGATTTTGAACTTAATTTCGTTAGTGATAGCGGTGATATGTGTTGGGAATGAGATGATATTCCGTGTGGAGTATAAGTTGGGAGTGAGATCGATTAATTAACGAGGATGTGAAGACAGATGTTACTGACTGCTGACTGCTGTCATATCTCTGTGTTGACTTGCGGAGTTACGTCACTACTGCCAGTACAGTTGTGATAAGTAAGTACATCACAAACTTAAGGTGCTGATGACAGCATGCTTTGAGCATTTGTCGCTTAGAGACATGTGTGTCGGAATTTTGCTTAAAATTAGCTGCTCATTTCAGGCATGTTTGTGAATCGACAGGCGTTGGATTTTTGAACATGTTTGAGCATGCTTAATAGAACACCTTTTAGCATACTGTTTTGGAGCATGTGTTACGATACTGTTATGTTCCTTATTTCAACGGTAGGTTATTGGTATAATCACTTTTTGCCCGTTATCTCTCATCATCGCACCTTTTATCCTCGAAAGCGTAGGCAGAGGTGCACATTACGGCACTTAATGCCACTGTACAATGTAACACCCACTTTTCACTATTTATGTTATGAGTCCCATGTACTAGGGGGTGAGCCTATTGCCATATACCGGACACAATGCCAGTTATTTTAGTTATGAACCCGGTTATTATAATGAGCTAGTAATTAATAGTTATAGACTAAGAACATAATATAACATTTTGAAGTCTAAATAAGAACAGCCATCTTTGTCGCCAGTCTAAACTGGAAGTCCTAATGACGACATGATTAACGAAGCCCTGGGTTCTATTATTTATAGTCTGAAGCAAATTTCTTTTATGTAAGCAACTGATTTAACAAATGAAAAGAAATGTCTACTGAGCAGAATTTCCTAGAAAATCTAGCCTTGAAACTAAGACTATTTTCGATAGATACTTGGTACATATCTAATTTCTTAGAAATTTTATTAAATTCCAGTAACCATTTCATCAATAAACCTTTGGACTATTATAAATGTTTTAGTCCCTCGTTACCATAAACTTGCCACTTTATATTTGAGACACGAACACCTCAAGAGCTAAACTAAATTATCTCGTATCTGAAGCTCCTGTTTTAAATTACAATTATTTGTAATTCATTAAGAATGTTGAAGTTGTCTTTGTTTCTAACTAGAGAGTATTCTACCTGCATGCTCGGAGTTCCCTAGTTCTCGTTAAGTTCACAATTAACTAGAATAATTTAATTAATTTGTGCAAATAACGAAGTCTTGTTTCCCCGAGCCGTGCGCGTATAGTCTGTTGTTCTTGCGCGTTACTCGCTCCAACATTATTTGCGCACTTATAAGTATTCTTACGAGACTTTCTGTGTTATTACACGCGGCATCTAGGTACTCATTAATTATCGCATCTTATTTGAGTCTTACGTCATTTATTAGCTCTAAAGTCTTATGCTTTTTCAGATTCATATTCAACGAAAAGTTTTGTTAAACTTTGTAGGTACATTAATAGTAAACTACAGATTTCTAACTATTATATTATGTTACCCGAGCGTACCCGAGCGTCAAAGAGCCATCAGACCACCACGGATGGGGCCCAATAGGGCTGATGCCGATACGGAGCCGCGGAAAACCAAACGGGTTACCGGGGCTCCGGCTCGAAGTGCAGGAATAGGAAAGGGGTGGTTTTTAGTCAGTAAGAGTCTGACACTCCCTACCGCATCACCCAGACGGGAAAAGTCATTCGATGATTTTCCCCCTTAATAAAACGATTATATTATGTTAGGAAGCCCAATATTTGAGAGACGATAAATTGAGCAATATAGTCTTTTAAATCTTATTAAAAATAGGAAACGTAATCAAACCGAGAGTATGTCTTCATCACCAACAACCTATAAGTGTCCACTGCTGAGCAAAGCCTCTTCGCACGCGGAGAAGGTTTGAGCATTAATCACCACGCTAGCTTGATGCGAACTTATAATTAGAAATTATAAGCCCAGGTTTCCTCACGATGTTTTCCTTCACCGTTTGTCAGTGGTGTCTAGATAGCTTTAGAAAGTACATAACTCGGAAAAAGACACATTGGTACTTGCCGTTGGTAGGTTTCGAACCCGCATCCTCATGCATGAGAAGCGGGCGTCTTAAACCTCCTCAAATTGTTACTAATCTTTTAAACATTCATACGATTAATAGGCACTATAAGCAGGTATTGCGATCTCATAAACCGACCATACCACTAACATACATTAACATTTTGTATATTTCCAGATGATTACAAGTTCATATTAGTATTTACTTTGGTTTACTATTCATACATTGCGTAAATTCGATGTTTACCCGAAGGAATATATCACATTACAGCGCCCCTGTAAACATTTACTGAACATAGTAAAAAGGCATTTTGCAAAACATTTTCCGAGTAAGAGTAAGTATTGTTTGAACAAATAAAACAAACAAACAATTTGGAATATCCTGGGAATATCGTCAATAGTCTGTATTTTTGTATTGGTATCCCTGTTTACTTCAATATTTATTTTGGGAAGTGAATTACTCAGTCATACTGCGTTAATACGTCAGCTGACGTATATTTCATGAGAAGAAATGTACAAACTGATCTCCTTTAAAATATATAGATTTCAATTGTGTGCACGGTTTTGCGCGGTGGCTGGGCAACTGGCTGACGCGCCATGTGTCGCAGGTTCGATCACCGCAAGGAACAATTCCTTGTGTGATCCACAGATTGTTGTTCCGGGTCTGGGTGTCATGTGTATGAGAACTTGTATGTTTGTCAACGCACCTACGACACAGCAGAAAATACTACTGTGGGACATTGTTTTTTTTTAAAAGAAATGAAAGAAAGAATTAATTGACAAAGCAGTACAATGGCTGATGTGAGAGTCAGTATTCCTCCAGTA